CTATTCTATGATTCTATGATTCTATAAGCTGAGACCAGAAAGGTACATGTACAGTAACTAATTCATTAATCCGTCAGCCTAAGGGAAAGTGTTGCATGTCTCAGTCTTAATAGTCAAGTAGAGGGAATGCACTTATTTACTGGTACAAAAATACATTGCCGTATGTGCCTCCAAAACTGAGTGTATGTAAGAGTTACCTACCATGCTACAGAAGACATGCATACAACTCTGTCTTCTCACCAATAGGAAGTGAACTTACCATGTGATTAAGAAAAACTTAGACATATATTTTGACAGAAAATTATTCCTGAGGCAGATTACATTAGAGCACAAGCCTGATGAGGAATGGCTGAGGGAGCTGGGGTTGTTTAGCCTGGGGAAAAGGAGGCTCAGGGGAGACCCTATTACTCTCTACAACTATCTGAAAGGAGGATGGAGAGAGGTGGTGGCTGGTCTTTTCTACCAAGTAACAAGTGGCAGGACGAGAGGAAGCTGTGCCAGAGAAGGTTTAGACTGGATATTAGGAAGAATCTTCATCACAAGGGTGGTCAGGCATTGGAACAGGCTGCCCAGGGCAGTGGTGGAGCTACTGTCCCTGGAAGTGTTCAAAATACATGTGGATGAGGCCCTTAGTGACATGGTTTAGTGGTGGACTTGGCAGTACTGGGTAACGGCTGGACTTGATGATCTTAAAGGTCTTTCCAACTGAGTTGATTCTATGATTCTGTGAAGACCTATTGATGACAGCTGTCGTAATTCTAGAGGATCTACATTTATGGTTGTAACAGCAAAGAGGACCAGTCCTTTTGTATTCTTGCAGCAGGTTAGAAATTCCTGCAGCTACTACACATGAGATGCAGATAGTCATCAACAAATAGAGAGGCTGTACCTGTAGTCAAAATCACGTGGATTTAATTAAAGGTGTTTTTTTACTAACTTACTTAAAAGGACACAAAACACTGTCTAGTAATTTCTAATTGGTTTTGAAGCTTTTTTCATTGATTTTTCTTCATTTAGTAGGTAATAAATTTAAAATTAATCAGCATAATACAATGAAATTTCATAATAAAATGAAATCAAGAGCAGCCACACTGGGTCTTTCCCAGGCTTAATTTTTCTAATTTGAAATGGCACCTTTAGTTTTACTCATCTAATCTGGCATGTAGTGAAAATCTGTCTGCTGAAACAAAAATGTTAAAAAGACAACAATAGATGATAGTGGTAAGTTACAATGAAAATATTTTCAGGAGTAAATAGAGAATCGCTTAGAAGGCTTCCAACAGTCACAACAGGCCTTAAAGCATGGTCTTACTGTAGGTAGTCAGTTACCTGGTATCTAGAAGATAGCTTTGGTATAACCACTTAGTGGCCCAACAATGCACTCAACCAAGTCAACAAAGGTGCTCCATGGGGACAGGAGCTGACCTGAACCAAGCTCAGAAATAGTGGTGGGAGAGGCCGGAAAACAGGATAGGTTGCAGCAGAGCGACTCTGACTGGCTCTCACCCACTTAAGCACACAGTATGTGGAGGTTGGATCCTTCTGTTTTAATCCATCTCTGCCAGACTTGGAAATTAATCACATGCTCAGAATGTGCTTATGGTGGAGGTTTTCTCCTCTTCAGCAGTGCAGAGTGATGCAGCTGTTCCACCTGCGGCTACACACCACTCCCAAAACCACATTTCTTCCTTTTACATCTGTCTGACATTATAAAAATGGAAATCGCTTCTGTGAGTGCACTTTCCCCATGGCCAGCAGTGTGGATCTTTGTTAGGGTCTGTATTATTCAATATATTCAGAAATACAGCCGTAGTGAGACTACAAAATTTCTTGCTAATATATAGGTTACCTAAGTAAAGATAAGGGCTGTTTATTAAAACCTGCAGAAGGTTTTCACGTTTTGTGGATGATAGGATGACTGAACATAGAGTGACAAACATAATCAAAAACCAGTCCAGGACATATAAAAACTGCTAAATTCACAGGTAAATTCTAGTTCCTCTGCTAATTATTATCCTTCAGGAAAGAGTTACAGGATTTCTGGTAATTGCTCTATGATGTATCTGTGCTTGCAAACAATCAGAAAATGCAGATCCAAGGTCAGGATTTTTAGCAAAGACATGGAGATTAAAATAAATGTCATTACACTAATTTGCAGCTCTGTTGTGTGCCCATGCTGAATGGTGTTTGCACCCACTTCAAAAAGACATACACTAGAGAAGGCTCACAGAAGATGGCAGGGATGAGCGAAGATTTCAGACTGACAAGTGATAAAAAATAGTCTAAGGTACTCCAGCCTAACACCAGCAGAGCAAGAGCTGCTAGAAAATCTAGAAGATAATAGGTAGCAACTGTTGCATGGCTACTCTCATGATACGTCCCTGTATTAAATGTTCCAATTACAGGCATGTGAAAATGGAAGATTTACAATTTGATTAGTCTTTCCTAGTGCTTATGAATCCTTATGACCATGTTTTTACTATGCTCTTAGTTCATAGATATATTATATTAGTTCATAATTATACACACATCTGGTTTCCCAGAGGGGTCTACAGGGCACAAAGTAGTGAAAGATAATACCAGAAACTGTTTCTAACAACCCAAGACTAAGCAATGTTTGAAATAATTTCTTTCTTTTTTACCCTTGCAGACTTTGTGGCTTTGAACCATTTTATGACGAAAGGGGAGATCAATACATGTTTAAAAGAATCCTGAACTGTGAATATGACTTTGTGTCCCCCTGGTGGGATGATGTATCTCTGAATGCCAAGGATTTAGTAAGTAAAACAAAAATGAGTCTGTGGAGTATCTTTGCTGATACATGTTTGGCTAGTATCACTTCCATTGAGAAAGAGTCCATTTTTGGATGGAGGCAGAGTAGTTTGTTAATTAGTTGTACCTATGGCTCCTTGCTTTTCTTCTTCTTATCTCTTGTATATGATAGTGCTGTGATATATCCCCTGTTAGTCCAGTGCTGAAATTTTGCACTCAAACCCATGGACGTTCAGGTATTTATGTGATCTAATCCACAGACTGTAGGCAGCTGTCACAGTGTTCATGTATGCCTGCCTTTCATGCTAGCTCTGAGGTACTTCACCAGTCCTCTTTGCAAGACAACCACTTTCAGGGGAACGAAGAAAGTAGTCCTATATTTTGTGCAGTTTTCAAGTCTGAACTTTGGAAGAAGAATATAAAAAGGAGTGAAGCCCCTCTCACCCTACTTTTCCTCACAGCATTTTTCTGTCCATTTAAGCTTTCTCTTTTTTTAAACATGGTCCATTGGCAAAATGCAAGGGCTGGCATGCTACCTGCACCTTATGCTTTTATTACTGGATAAAGTAAACTGGATCCAGGAGGCATTGATCTGCAGACAGGTATTCTTGGGTTTGATTTTTAGTCAACATTAACTTGCACAGTTCAGTTATTTCATTAGCACTGAAGACACAAGTGCTTAGTTCCATATTGCTTATACGAACTGTGCCATAAAGTTTTTAAATTACTTCAGAATGCCTCAAATGGAAAGACTGTAGAAGTTCAAAGTACTTTCTCATTGTTGTGAAGTTTTTCTGAGGTCAAAAAAATATCATTTACTGTTGTGTCATCAAAACCCAGATGAACAGCAGACTGCAGCGAAGCTGCTCATTCGTTGTACACAGAGAGCTTTGGTCCAAACTGATGCCTACCATTTTGGTAAAGTTCAGAGTTCCAGGTTTGAACACTACAGAAACTTGTAGCTAAAGATGATGTCCGTAGCTCTCGAAACCATGCTTTAAGCAGTTATGGAGTGTTCAGTTGATCTCCTTAACTTGACCTCTTCTGTGGACGCACAGCCCGTATTCATCATGATGTCTGTTCTCCTGCATCTACTTCAGGGCACCATCTTTCTTTAATAGTTCTTTGTAGGGGAATTTCAGAGAGCCCTCAAGTGAGTTCTCCCCTCACATGCGGGCACCACACAGTGGTGCAGCCCTGTGCCAGCACTCGTGCTCTGCTTCAAGAGGATGTGCAGTCTGGAGAGTTGCGTAAGTGTGGCTCTGCTGACTACCTCCATGTACTTCTTTACTCCATTCTCACCCTTCTTTTTTTTAAAACACCACTTGTCCAGCAAAACCCATGAAACACAGCTTGGCTGGACACCCTTGTACCCAGCAGTTTGTACAATTCCACTTCCAGAGGTACGTGTGCAGTATGTTGTTCCCAGAAACATTCCTACTGTTCCTACTGTTGTGTTTGGAGAGCTGCAGCTTCCCTGGTCTTGATAACAGAAAGAATGGCATAAACAGCATTAGTTTCAGAGTCGGCTAAAAGAGTAATAATTGTACAGTACCTTTTTTACATGAGGTTTTACGGTGACTGAAAGAAAGATTTCATTTGTTATGTACCTGGCAGCGACTGCATGGTATAAGTCTGCACGAGTTGCATTCACTAGAATTTAAACTTTCAAATCCAGTTTAAACCCTGTTCAGATGCAAAAGCAGAGATACTGCTAAGAGAACTGCCTGTCTGGGAGTATTTTGAAAGTCTTTTAAGGTTTATGTGCCAATTCAGACATACGATATCCTGTGGTGGATACAGGCCAGGTGCATTGGTACATACTTTTATAAATGTTGGTAGCCAGTTGATTCTTTTTCTCTTCCCCCTTAGTTATTTAGTTATTCTCTTCCCCATGTTATTTATGGAGGACCAAGAATGCCAGAAACAAAATACATCAAAAGACCTGCATACAAATTCTTTTTGGCCTCTTTTAGAAACACATTCTAAGATGCTTTCCAAACCAAGACCAAAGCCCCAGAATGTAAAGTTTGGCAAAAGTAAAATGAGAGTAAGGTTAACAGTCTCCTATGTATCTTCTTGTGATGCAGGTTAAAAAGTTGATTGTTTTAGACCCCAAGAAACGCCTTACCACTCTACAGGCTTTGCAGCACCCATGGGTCACAGGGAAGGCAGCAAACTTTGCACATATGGACAATGCACAAAAGAAACTTCAAGAATTCAATGCCCGGCGTAAACTTAAGGCAAGTCTCTGGACATAGTCTTTGTTTTGGCCATAAAAGCATGCAGTTAGATAAATAGCCGTTCAGAAACCTTGCACACTTTTCAAGACAACATTTTATAGAGGTGTGGAAGTTTTTTATTTGACTGATGAAGATTAAAAAGTTGAAGCTGTTTTAGTTGATATCTGCAGCCAAACAAAAATGTGTGAAGTTGATTGAAAACTCATCTACACAGACAGAACTGCTAAGAATGTACACAGCTTTTGCAAATTCCTACCTTTTTTCCTTCCTTTCTTACTTTCTTCCCTTCTTCCTTCCTTGCTTCTGTCCATCTGTCTGTCCTGTACTGTTTACTCATCTTTAGAGTATTGACCAGAAAGAACACAATTCTGAGTGGTTTCTTCATGAACATTCAAAAATCTGGCAGATATTTAGTCTGCTACAGCTTATTTTGATCTGTAAGCCACCCTCAGTTTCCATACCCATCAGTGCAAAGCAGGAGCTTAAGCCATCCTTTTGTATGATCTAGAGTTAGCATTTCAGACATGTATGTCCATAAAATGTGTGGGTTGAGATTAACAGGCCCAAAACATGCATTTGGAAGTAGCTGTAACAGCAAATGTGCAACAGCATTCTTTCATCTGGAAATGAAGTGCAAGGCAGAAGTGCAGGTGGGACTGAAAATAACATTAAGTTCTGAGTCACTATTATGTCCCTGTACCGTCTAGTCTACATATCTACTAAAGGAAGAAGTAGCAAAATATTTTTAGGTGAAAACAGCAGGCAGCTGGGCATTTAACTGACATAACATGGGGAAACTTTTTCCTCCCCATATTTTTTCTTCAGTTGTTAAAGATTTGTGTCTGCTTAGGAGAGACTTCCAGGGATACTTCAGCACAGGAATTATTACCAAGAGCTACACTGAAGCTGTCATTGCGGCCCTGGGGAATAAGAGTCAAAAGCATCTCTTCTGAGATGAAAAAAAAAAACCGCAAACCCAGAAACAATGACCCTTAACTTTAGTTTTGCTCATTTTTCAATATTATTAGAGAGTGGTGACAGGGAAGAGAGCAAAGAATAAAGCCTTGTCGTTTACAGAGGTCTCAGACACAGCAGATGTAATTCACAGTGATGCTTTGCCCATGCAGAACATGTTCTATTCAAGAAGATTTCTGTAGCCTTACAGCAGGATTGCTCTGTATTCACTGAAGATGCCATGCAACATTGTTATATCAAAATTATTTCAGAGCATGAGCAGGATCATAAATTTCATTAATCCTGAGTAAGCTGTTACATTCACAGCGCAGGAAGTCACAGACAAATGCATGCCCTTTCTGCATGTTTTGATTTTGATTCTCTGTATATTTTTACACCTGTGACGACCAATGGGATTTTTTTTTTTTTGATGGCCAGAGTTGTCATAAACAGAGATCAGTATTTCTGCTCCCCACTTCTGTATGTCTGGGTTTTTTTCAGGCAGTAAAACAGTTCAAGGCAAGAGCTTAACATGTGTCTTAATTTTGTGACATTTTATGTGATATGAGAGTCTATCCCCAATGTGTGTGTATATATACACATGCATATGAAATTGATTGTATGGTCTGCACCATTGTGCTTGGCAGACACAATAGTGCAATAGTGATATATACATACTATTTTCCTTTGTGAACGTTTTGTGGGATAATCAATGATAATGCTGTTATTACTATGACAGAAGGTAGCTTTCTTTTTGTCATGTAACTTCAACACAGGAGATCTGAAGTAGTGTCTAAAAAAAATGCAGCATGTGCAGCTGAAAAAAAAATTCTGTTCATGTTGGCCAACTTGTAATCATGTGAAAGCAGCAATTTTATACCTCAATCCAGTACTTCAGATGGCATTCTAAATCTGTCCAGGCCCAAGGAGGTATCCAAATGTGACATTGGCATGAAGACTAAACACTATGTTTCCTAACAGAACAATGCAAATATTGCAGTGCTGTCAGACTGTGTCCTTTAAGGAATGTTTTCTTGATTCTCTCTCAGGCTGCAGTAAAAGCTGTGGTGGCATCAACTCGCCTCGGCAGTGCCAGCAGTCACAGCACACATGACAGCAACAAGGCCAGCCATAACCCATCTCCCGTCCATGACAGCAAACCTGAAGAGAAACCTACTCAGAAAGCAGAAGAAGCTCCAGAAGAAATGTCTTAGGTCAACATGCTTCCTTGTTTCAGCTGAAATCTGTCATTTCATACACCAGCTAACTTGTCATTCAGCAAGAGAGATTCATAAGCTTGGCCTCTCTGGTTCTGCTTTGGGGTGCCAAATGCACTGGCTGGTGATCCTACCTTCAATGCATGTGACTGCTTATGAAAATAGTAAACTGTTCCATAAGGCATGTCATGGAAACAGTGTTACTTGCAGTAATACCGGCAGGTAAAAACATGGGGATGAATAACTACCTATCATAATGCATATCCTTCATATACATGTATCCAGTGTTTCTAGATAGCATTTGAAATTACATACTACTTATTTGTTTTCATGTAAGTAAGTGTCTTCTGTATGTTGTGAGTTTCTTTGAACTGCTTCCTTCCAGATTCATAGTCCTGCAGCAGACAAAATGGAAGGAAATACCAAGTCAATGCTTTTAAAACTGATGTATGAAATAATGCTTTTTATCTGTAAAATTCAAAAAGTATTTGGGGATCTATATGCAAAAAACATTCCACTACTTCTGAGAAGAAATTGAAATGTTAGTTCCACTAGGCATGAAGGTGTACATTCCTCAAGCTTGTGTTGAGAATGCCTTATTCTGACTTTTCCTATTTATATACAGTATTTTAATGACAACCAAAATTATTCAGATTTCTGCCGTTTCGTTCTCTAATATAGCTAAACCAAAACAATAGACTAAAAGAGGACTAGCGTAGATGCAAATTTGAACCATTATATTTATTCATTAATTTCTAAACTGTGCAGCTAAAAGATGTTTTTATAGGGCCTAAGGGAATAACCTGCTATAATGCAAGTTATAAATGCTTAAAGGAAGCTGTTCCACAACCCAATGATTTTTCTCTGAAGAAATACTCTTATACAAGGTCTGGGAGCAAGCAGTATAATCTAGTTGCTTCCCAGATAGTTTAACCTCATGAATAACCAGTTTCCACTTGTCAGCATAATTAGTCGAGGTTTTCCTTACAAAGGACCCCTCCTAAAAAGTGATCCACCAGCACAGATCATACATCCACCAGAGCTCCTGTGTCTTAAGTTGAAAGCTGTGATGTGCATGAATCATCTTGCAAAATTAGGGTCAGGTTCTACAGGTGTCTTGATTCTTTTGTTCAGCATAACTGATGATAGAAATTGAAAAACTAACATGCATCAGTATGTATGACCATTTACATTTGTTTGTTATCACTTTGATAGCATGTGAATTTTGTGATGTCATTGATATATTACAGAAATGGCAAAAGGAACCTGATGTACAAGAATGTCATTTGTGTTTGTTTGTTAAAATTTTTAATACTGGTAGCTACCTAACACCCTACTATAGTCAACATTCCTCTTTTGCTTTAATCATTTTTATGTTGTTAGGCCTTGCACAACTTGCCTTGAAAAATATATCAGCTACTGAAAATAGTCATTAATAAAACATTCAGTAGCTACATTTCCTGGTGAAATTAAAGGGTAATACAAAGTTATTCATATGGCAGGTTTGATGAATAAAATATAATCAAGATTAATATAAAAAAGAAGATCAAAGATAATGTCTTTACTAGGTGAGAATGCATGCTAATGAATGTATTGTACTTGAGAGTTTTTACCCATTTCTTATAACTCTTTGAACTTGTACAGAAGGTTTCCTAATTAAGTGCAGTTGAAATTTAAAGTACGTGCATACGTCCTTCATCCTTTTCCCAGGTTTGGGGGAATCCAATGCTTTGAAGTCAGCTGAAACAGCTGGTGGGGGCATGGCAGCTCTGAATAGGCCAGCAAGACACTTCTGCAGGTTTTCCCTTGGAAACAAGTAGTCAGACTAATAACTTTGGAAAAGATGATAAGTACATCCACTTATCTCACTTTTTACTCTCTTACCTCCTGCGAGGTGACTGCAGGATGAATGTATTTCTCAGCCACAAGTCTCCTTCTCCTGTTACAGTGGAGAAGCCGTCTGAGTTCAGTCAGTGGAGAGGTTTGATGGGAGAGGCTGGATTTCTGTAATGTTTCCTCCTTGGTTTAGGATAGTTGCTTCTAATCTGCAGAAGTGAAGCTGGCTGCACAATTATTGCGCATCTATGAGTGCTTGAGCAAAATTGTTTTCACTTGGGGCACAGTTTGTTGACCTGAAAAGTAGTCCCAGCTGATTCTTAAAGTTGTTCTTTGCTAAATTATACAGTAATATATCATAACTATGAACTGATGCCATGCAACTGGAGACCTCCCTGTGACAGCATAGTCTTGAAGGCAGCTCAGTCTTACGCTCTGGGGTTTCAGTTGTTCTTGCTTAGCTTTTATTTATTATGCTCGATGTCTGTGCTGAATGAATTACCTATATGTGACTCAGTAAAGTAGTATGTCTGGTTTAAGTATGACAGTATTCTAGAAAAGGAAGAGCAATGCTAGGGTGTATGCATTTAACTGAAGAAAGGACTGTTAATATGCATCATTTTTGTCTGAAAAATCGTATACTAGAGGCATCTACCGTAATCCAGACTTGGAAGTGCACCACCAGCATCTCTCTTACTGTGGCTGAAAAATGGGAACACACCCAAAAACTACTGGAGGTGGACCAGTTGCATATAGGTAGTTATGAACTAGGTAGAAAATTACTGATGATCTTTTCTGTCGAAATCCTAAGATTTAAGTTTTTAAAATGTTCAACATATTAGCGAAGTCCTTCAAGCACAAAAGAGAGAACCTTGCCATCTTTTTGAAGTCTTTGAATTTAGCAAAGCTTTTCCTTTAGAGGGAAAATGTAGCATTAGCCAATTGAAGTCTAATATTTGAGATCTAGGCTGAGGATCTGATGGCTGTTAAATGGCTAACCATGTCCTGCCTTTGCACAACAGGGTTTTTTACAAGTTCAGGTAGCTTTGCTCTTAAATAGAACAGATTTCCTGTCATTTCAAACACGTTTGCTTGCAATTTTGTGGATGACATGGTGATTGCACTGCATAAGCCTGGTGCTGGTTTGTTTGGATTTCGCGTTGTGCAAGCATGCTCTAAAGATGCAGATACACCATAATCAAACTTCTGAATGCAAAAGAGCATCAAGATAAAAGTTTGTGATACAGGGTGTGCTTCAGAAGAAAGGTAGTAAGGGCTCTGTTCCCACAAGAGCAGTCTGTTGGGCACACGGAGAGTGACAAAAACTGCCTATCATCCCCTTTGCAAGGGCCCAGTGCCTCAACGAGCTCTGAAAAGCCACATGGTAATAGTGCAGCATAAAAGTGGCAACCAGAAAGTTTCTGAAAGGGGCTTAGATCAGCAGGGAGTCCCAGACTGTGGCTCACTGTCAGCTGGGCCTTGGCAATGACCAAATAACAATCCTTCTCCTGTGAGTGAAACATAGAGGCAGCTGTGGGGAAAGTGAGGACAGCACTGGGAAGAAGATGCTAGGAGTTGCCAGTGTCCAACTTAGCAGATGGATAGCAGTATCTGCTAAGCAGCAAATGCAGGAGGACTCTCGAGAATAAACACCCATTTCGACTGGCAACTGCCTCTCAGCCTGGGAAACACTGTAATGCAGAGCCCTGCAGTGCAGCTCTTGGGACTGTTTTTCAGGGTGGCATATGAAAGCGTAGGGTGGAGGACTTCAGCTGATCCTTGCATGGTGTCCTGCATGCTGCATGCTTACAGAGTGACAGACACAAGTCCCAGGTCAGTGCTCTGACCCGTGGCTTGTGCAGAAGCTGTATATTTCTCCTGGTGAAGAACTCAGTTTTGTGTGGCTGAGTCTACCTTGCTGCTGCTCAGCTTACGAGTGTATAGTTTATGCAGGCATGTCATTCAGGTAACAGAAAATACCTTCTTATATGGAGAAAAGGAGGAATGAGGCTAGCCAAGCAAGACACGCAATTAGACCTAGAGCACAGTGGCAGGGATACAATCAAGTCCCGAAGATATTAAAGGTAAACAAAAAGGCAGCTCAGAACATCCTTAAAGTTACTTTATAAAACAGTAATAGGTCAAAGAATGTCCTTTGCTCCTTTTCAGAGTAATTTCAGTTACAATATACAACCACAGTAGTGACAGTTAATTTTGCTTTTTTATGAAGTTAACTTCCCTGCTAAGCCCCTGTGCAATACCATGTTTTATCAAAAAAAACCCCATCAGCTGCATTGCAAAATAGAAGGAAAATACAGTGATAAGGAATGAAGAGGAGAAAAATAGAGATAAAATAATTACATAGTATAGTTATATCTGAAATGAAAAGATGTTAATTGCAGAATATGTATAAACTTTTACTTACAAGACTTTAGATTCTCTGCATAAGCAAAAATTTGCTTTATATCTGGGACATAAAACTGAAGGCGAGAGTAATTCAGTGAGGACTGATGGAGGGTCAGTGCAAATATGGAGAGCATCCCCTGGAGTGTAAATCCTCTAACTCATATAAGAATGTAACAATGTACATGCATATAACTAAAATTCCATCAAAACCAAAATAAAAAAATGCCTGCACTGCATGCTCTTCTATCCCTCTAGAGTGGAACAGACAATGTAACGCAGTCATGAACGTAGTCATTACTGGAAGGCTTTCGGATACTGTGCGGATAGTGTAGTACAGAAACAGGAATGGAACAGAATAGTCAAAGTGGCCCAGTTCTGAACTTACCAATAAAATTATAGATACATATTAATATATATATGTACCTGCACACACAAGTATGTAGATTTATCAAAAGAGAGGCAGAGACTGCTGAACAGTCTGTACAAGCCATGTCTGCCTTAACAGTCACAGTAACCTTTTAAGCTGTCTTTTTGCCTTTTGCCAGCACTACTCAGCTGGAACTGAAACCATAGCATTTAAATACTTGTGTGCATGGATCATCACTGGATGAAATTCAGTGTAATGTATATTAAGGTATGAAAGATTAATAAAATATAGTTGGTAAAGAGTTCTACCCAGCTCTGGCTCCTTCATAGCAAGATGCAGCTAGAAAAAAGAGTGTTTCAGTGCCCTTGTCATTTTGCATGCTGAGGACATGGACCAAAGAGGGGTGATAACACCAGCACAGCATTTTGTGATGGGTTAGAACTGCCCTAAACCACACCAGAGGCCAGTGCCCAGCCATGCTCCATCCTCAGCACGCGTGACCAAGAACTGACCAATCCTTAACTTGTGTATCAGGAAGGTGTTAACTGGCCAAGGTATGTTAAACAGCATGTGTCCACTCGTACTGAGTAGTACAGAGCTTGTCCAATAGTATCAGCTACTTTTTTTGTCTGCCTGAGAAGTTGCAGCATGCCAGAGTGTTATGTGGCAATAAGCAAAGCTTAAAGGAAAGGGATCGTCTGTTTTTTCCGTTTGAAACTCTAGTTTCAAGAACAAGTGTTAACATGCAGTCATGGCTAAATGGCTTGTTGTTTTTCTTCCCTGTTATGCTTCATCTTTTCCCTGTCCCTGGACCCATGGGACACCCAGGAAGAGCTGTCAGCTGCCAGTCAGTGGCAGAAAAGCCATCTGACACTTGGCAGGTTGCAGCTGCACTGCCCTG